TGTGTGTGTGTGTGTCTGTGTGTGTGTGTGTGTCTGTGTGTGTGTTTCAGACTTTAGCAACGTGATCAGTAAGAGTGAGATCAAGGCCTTGGCTGAGGCTGATGAACAGGAAGTGGTGGCTGAAGTCCAGGTGAGTTTCAGGACCTCCGAGGAAGCGTGGGGGTTTAATATTTCTACATGATGTAAGATCTCTCTGTCAGTCATGGCGGCTCATTCTTAGCTGAACTTGACTCTGCCAAAATACGTCTTAACAACATTAATATAATAATATTAGTCCAGGGTCTTTTTCTGTCTTCACCTCCTTGTTGCAGAGAGAGGTCAGCTGATGCTGCAGGGTTAAATCTTTGTGTCATCTTCTCATTGTTTCAGTTTCATTAACCAGCATGAATCCTGTGAGCTCGACCGTTTGCTCCGTCGGGTTGTTCTTTTCAACTAATTATGAGGTTTGAGTCAAAGGAGCAACTGAGCGTGAGATCAGGAGCAGAAAAACAGCTGTTGGCGTTTCCATCTCATCAGTGAACGTAGTGATTTGGGTAACGGCGGCACGTTTGTGATTTTTAGGCTGGATCCAGTTAACCGTGATTCACGTCTGACATGTGGAAACCTTCAATCTTTGGACAGATCATTATTTCACTGATTAAACATTTCCTCTAATAATACAACAAATACTTGTTTATAATCAGAGTTTAAGTTGACTAGAGCTGAAAGTGTTCCTCTGTGACGCCTTCATTTGATGACATCAGTAACATGTAGCCCAACATGCTACGGTTATGTATGTAATATGAAAGAATTCCTTGCTATTAACCTCCAGCTTGGCCTGCATGACCATCAGTGCTACATCATCATTTCTCCAAGTGTCAGGTGAGATGCTGACAGTCACAAATGGAGGAGGAGCTTACTATGGCGGTTTGGTCGGGCCGAGCTGTTTGATCAAATTTAATTTTAAAGCAGACACAGAACAAAACTGTGCCGAGGTCTGAGAATTCATAGGATGTCCTGGCAAGCTGTCGTCCTGCCCGCGTGAGCATCACGAGGACAAACTCGGCGCCATGTTTGCTGTGAACACAGTTCTAACCCTTTACACACCTGAGTGACATCATCAAAACCAAAATAGCAGAAGTATAGCTTACTGTGTGTGTGTGTGTGTGTGTGTGTGTGTGTGTGTGTGTGTGTGTGTGTGTTTGAGTGTGTGTGTGTGTGTCTGCATGTGTGTGTGTGCGCGTGTGTGTCTGCAGGAGTTCTACGGAGACTTCATCGCTGTGAATCCTCACCTGTTCTCTCTGAACCTGCAGGGAGTCACTCGGGTAAGAACCACATGGCCCTCAGCTGTCAGAGCTCCGCCCTAAAAAGCTCCACATGCTGCAATCACATCACCTGTGTGTGTTTTAGGGGCGGAGCTGGGAACCCTCTATGTTGGCACGCTGCACTCAGGGACTGACCTCCGTCCTGCTTGCTCTGAAGAAATGTCCGATGATCCGCTACCAGTTGTCCTCAGACATGTCCAAGCGGCTCGCGGAGAGCGTCAAGGTTTCCACAGCAACATCATCACACACGTCATCACACACTCACGGAAAAGTGCTTTTAATGCCACTACAGGTTATTTTAGCACCGAGTGTCCTGTTGGCTGGTCAAAGATGATGTCAGCTCTGTGCTGTAACCTGAGCACTTGGGTTTAAACACTTGAGCCTCAAGCTGTTAACACTTTTACTCAAGTAGTACTCTGAAGAATAAAAGTACTACTCAGTATTTTATTTGTTTGTTGTCAGCAAATCATCACGAAGGAGTACGAGCTGTTTGACTTCAGGAAGACTGAAGTTCCTCCTCTGCTGCTTATCCTGGACCGCAGCGACGATGCCATCACGCCGTTGCTCAATCAGGTGACCGCTCGCTGTCCTCTGTGACATCATTTTGCACTTTTAATAATTCTGTCATCTTTCACACTGCATCCTCTGCAGCTCATTTGTCACTTTCATTTGATGGCTGTTGTGTGTACAAAATGAGCAAATCATAAATTCACTGGTTGTGTGTCTGTGTGAAGCGCGTGCGTGTTTACGAGCTTTCGCTGTGTTGCAGTGGACATACCAGGCGATGGTCCACGAGCTGCTGGGCCTCAACAACAACAGGATCGACCTGTCCAGAGTGCCCGGGATCAGCAAAGACCTGAGAGAGGTGGTCCTGTCAGCTGAGAATGACGAGTTCTACGCCAACGTGAGTCTCACACAGCAGCACATCTGCTCACATCTGTCAGCATCTGTGCTCAGCGTTAATAGGATTGAAACGAGTGACAGAAACAAGCTGCGCTCGTCATGTTGGTAGGTTTCTAGCAGACTTTAAAAATGTGATGTTTCAGCTGCCCCTTCAGTCCAGGTTACAATGGTAACTCTCAGAGCAGAAACGAGTCCTAACAGTCACTAACCTCGCTCTCTCGTCTCCTCGTTAGAACCTGTACCTGAACTTTGGAGAGATTGGCACCAATATAAAGAACCTGATGGAGGATTTCCAAAAGAAAAAGCCAAAAGGACAACAGAAGCTGGAGTCCATCTCAGACATGAAGGTCAGGCTCCAGCCGGGGCTCAGCTTGTTTACTGATACAAGTTTAAAGGTTTTACTACACGAACATCGACCCCAGCGCTGGAAATGTGAGTTCCTCTGCAGTCCAGAGGCTTCAGCAGGGAGTCAGTCCCCTTAGACTCCTGTGTTAAAATGCAGAAATAATCATGTTTACAGCCTGATACACACCTGGTTTGGCCTCTGTAGTTAATTTCCCCGTCATAGCAACTGCTGAAAAATGTTGGAATGCTCCCTCTGGAGTGGAGGATGGAGGTCGCCACAAGCAAGAGAGTTGAAATGATGGGGAGGTGGAGCGTGAATCGGGCCAGCGAGTTGGTGTCAGCAGGAATGTGGGCGTTGTATCGGACTGTCGTGGTGAAGAGAGAGGTGGTCAAAGTTCTTGATTTACCAGTCCGCCTACATTCCAGCCCTCAGCTGTGGTCATGAAATCTGAAAGGCAGCTGAAATGAGGTTCCTGTGCAGGGTTGCTGAGCTCAGCCTTACAGATCGAGTAACTCAAACCTCCAGACGGAGTGGAGCCGCTTCTCTTGTGTGTTAAAAGGAGCCAGCTGAGGTGGTTTGGGTATCTGATTAGGATGCCTCCATGGCACCGTCCGTTGGAGGCGTTCTGGGCACAGGGAGGAGATCCCAGGGTAGACACAAAAACCCCTTGACTAGCCTCGGAAGGCCTCGTAGCTCCCAGGAGGGAAAGTGTGAGGCGGGGGGAGGATGTCTGTAAGAACCTGCTTACCCACCATGACTCTGCTTCAGAAGAGGATCTCCAAAAGTTGACTCTGTTCATCTGGACATAGCGTTTTGTGGGAGAAATGTTTCGTCATCATCAGGTGACGTCTTCAGTCTCAGCTGACTGCAGGTTTCAATCTTATAAACAGGACATTTGCATAATGACTGAAACCAGCCCACTGAAGGAACAATGGGCTGGGAGGTCAGGTCCTTCATCGTAATTATGCAAATTCTCATGGCCACTGATCAAAGCCCTGATGGAAATCTCACAGTCTAAGAAGGCTAACCTGCAACTTTTCATATCCTCCCTGATCTATTTGATGAGTTAATGTGATCTGTGAAATGTGGCACGTCCTGAGATTGGATTTTCACCCAGGTGTCATCCACATACCTGAACCAATGGCTTGGTGGTGTTCCAGGGTAGGATAGCAAAGCCCTCTTTTCCACTTCTTCCATGTACAAATTGGCCACGATGGGTGAAACTGGGGAGCCCACAGCACACCCATGTTTCTGCCTGTAGAACTGAGCCTTGCATGTGAAGTAGGTGGAATGAAGACACAGTTCAAACACACTTGGTGGATGCTGACAGTGATCCTGTTGCTGAGGTCATCCTGTAGTCTCTTATGAACTACCTCCAACGCTTCCATGACTGGGATGCAAGTGAAGAGAGATGTAACGTCGTACGAGACCAACAGTCAGCTGAGACTGAAGACGTCACCTGATGATGACGAAACGTTTCTCCCACTGAAAACGCTACGTCCAGAACAGAATCAACTTTTGGAGATTTACTTACCTGGATGATTGAGCATCAAGACATTCAGAAGAGGATGGTTGGACGTAGAGCAGGGCGATATGGCCAAAAATATTTATCACGATATATATTTGAAAATTTGC